CAACCCCCCTGCGCCCCCCCCCGCCCCCCCCCCTCCTGCCTCTCCTGGCAGGGGGTGGGGCTCCAGGGCACCCAGACTCCCAGGGAGGGGAGGAAAATCACGCAGGGTATGTGGCTGTCTCTGCAGCTGCAATGAGGTTAGGAAGAGGATTCCCAGAGTGGGAGGGGGCAGTCCTGGCCTCAGGCTCCGAGGCCAGAGGACCTGGGAGTAGGGAAGCAGGAGGAACTCGGGGCTGGCAGGGGGTGAGGGTGAGGACAGCTGGGAGTGTCCTGCCCAGGCTCCCTGCGTTTGGTTTGGAGCAGAGTGGTGGTGGAGACTGGAGGGGTGAAGGTAGATGGACAGAAGTTGAAATGAGCAACTCTCCCATGTGACCACTAGAGGGCAGGCGCTGCAGCCAGCTGGGCTTCTCTTCCCCAGGACCACCTGCATCTCCTCAGTAGCCAGGGAAGCTGGGCTCCGCTATGGAGACACGGTGGGGAGGGCCAAGGAGAGGCCTAAAGCTCTGGGAGGCCAGGCTGGGAAAAACCACCACAGGTTAGCAACCAGGATGATCCCTAGATCAAAAGGCTGGGACCCAGCCCAGCCACAATGGGTGAGTGTTGAACTGTGAACCAGGAGGTCCCAGTTCGATTCCCGAACCCATTCAGGGCACATGCCCAGATTGTGGGCTCGATCCCCATTGGGAGGCACGCAGGAGGCAGCTGACCAATGATTCTCATCATTGATGTTTCTCTCCCTTTCCCTCTCTGAACCCTCACTGTTGGGGAGTCTTCAATCCCAAAGTTGTGGCCCTGGAATCAACCACCCCTAATTTCTCTCACCAGCACCCTCTCCAGTTTAGGACCCCCTCCCCCCTTCACCATTCAGGAGCCTCTGCTTGAATACTTCCTGTGTTGGAAAGTTCACCACCACTTTGAACATCTTTGTCAGAAAGCTGTTTTTTACTCTAAGCCAAAACGACCCTTGAGAAGCATCCAGATGAGCTGCAGATGGTTGGCATCTGACACCTCTGACGAGTGGTCTTACCCTTCGTCTCCTTTAACCAGGCCTCTAACAACACGGCCACTAGGATCCCTCCAGTCAGAGGGCTGCCTCTGGGCCCCTTCAGTGTGACAGCAGCCTTTTGTGTCGAGGGCCTAGGGCTGCCATGATGCACCTGGGCCAGGCCTGTGGGGTATACGCTGGCTCATCACCTCCCTTTTTGTTTTTTTTAATATATTTTTATTGAGTTCAGAAAAGAATGGAGAGGGAGAGGTAGAAACATCAATGATGAGAGAGAATCATTGATTGGCCGCTTCCTGCACGCCCCCCTCTGGGGATCAAGCTTGCAACCCAGGCATGTGCCCTGACCAGGAATTGAACCTAGGACCCTTCAGTCCCCAGGCCAATGCTCTATCCACTGAGCCAAACCAGTTAGGGCTCATCACCTCCCTTTTTGTGAACATGTGCCTCTATTACTCCAACCCAAATCTAACTCCTTCACAGCTCTGCCATTCAGCTTTGCTGCTCCCGTTCCATATTAACAGGGTTGATTTTTAACAAGCCTTTTTATTGATCCCTGTTAATATCTGTTTTGGGAGATTTAATCTATCATGTAGCCCTGAAACACATCATTAGAGGCCCTGGGGAGCTCATACATGAGCTCGGGGTGTCCGTGTGCACACTTTTCTGGGAAGAGGGCATGTCCAGGGCTTTCATTAGATCAGTGATGGCGAACCTATGACACGCGTGTCAGAGGTGACACCCGAACTCATTTTTTTGGTTGATTTTTCTTTGTTAAATGGCATTTAAATATATAAAATATCAAAAACATAAGTCTTTGTTTTACTATGGTTGCAAATATCAAAAAATTTCTGTATGTGACACGGCACCAGAGTTAAGTTAGGGTTTTTCAAAATGCTGACACGCCGAGCTCAAAAGGTTCGCCATCACTGCATTAGATTCTCAAAGGCACCTCTTAAAGGGGTAAGAACCATGGATAAGGCTTAACCTTGTTTTTGGATGAGGACAATGAAGCCCAAAGGGGAGTCCTGACAACCCCCCACCCAACACACACACACACACACACACACACACACCATGTGGCCAGTTGTGGGAGAACCCAAGCTTCCTGGCTCATTACAGCGTTTTACCTTCCTTCTTAGGGCCTGGGAGGACAGACACTCTGTGGTGAGGTCTGGCTCTGGAGACAAGGGCAGTGTTCCCCTCGTCCAGTGTGCACTGGGGCTGGGG